GGAAGGCCACTCAACAATTTTCAGCCAAGAACAGTGATTCGATCCAGAGACAAGAAGTTCAACTCGTCAAATCCGTTACTTGACACCATCCAGCACAAGGATTGTATTACGTCGTGTGTTTTCTTGCAATCCCAGACATCAGCTGTGGCTGGCAATTTGTTCCCAAAAATACTTACTTTTTTTTTCTTCTCAACTGAACAGTGCGTCTTGTACAAAGTATGTATCAAAAGAAAAAAGTCTGGTTAAAATAATGGAACGAATGCTCCAATCGGACACAGGGTGATCCACAGCAGGTCAAATTCATTTCCGTGTTTATCATTTTATACCCACACCGCTAATCTGAAACAATCTGGAACAACTTGAAAGCCACATTGACATGGCAGTTCTAGATTGCTGTCCTGTATTCGCTTTGGCCCATACTTCTTCGAGGAAAGGAAATAAGCTAAACTTTTCTATTTCCTCCCCTGAAATGAAGTGTCTGTACACCCGTGGACAACCTTCTGTGGCTATGCAGTTGAAGCTATTGGCACACGGAAGTGGAGTCACTAGAGAGAGGGGGGGGGGGGGGGGGGGGGGGGGGTCGCGGCGGGCCATCGCTTTTGGTGCCGCTGACCAATAGCGTCGCCACTGGCGTACGGGTGTTCGAGCACCTTGAGCGCTGATTAAAGCTGTGCACGCGCACTCTTCAATGCTGAAATGCCACAAAAAGTTGTTCACGCGTAAAGCCAGCCGGCAATGGCCAGGCGGCGCCACGAGAGTGCTGCATTCAGCGCCACAAGCGGAGACGTGTGTCTTAATGGGGCGGCCAGTCTGACCAGTCTGGCCAATCTGCCCGACGGGCCGTGGCGAGCGGTGGCGACCCCGATTTCAGCAGTCTCCATGCGCACGTAGGCACCGTGTCCCTAAATGTTTTATGCGGTTTCTTTAAGACCATCGGGAGCCTTGATAGGTCAAAGTGTTTAATCATATTCTATAGTTGTCATTTGGACACCAGTTTGAGTCGCCCTATATATAATAATTGCCGCCCGATCGGTCTGTGCATCGTTCGTCTCCCAGGGAGTGACACAACACAACGAGAAGGCAGCGAATCGGTTTACTGTACTTCCCGGTTGCCCATCTTGAAGAGCCGGCAGTCCGGACCCGCCGACCCTTGTTGTCGTCCGTCGTTCAGAGCTCGCAGTTGGAGTCCGTGTCCAGACCTGCGGATCGTCCTTCCCGTATATGCAAGCGATGGGTAGGCTAGCTGTTCCGGGCCATCACAGTCAGGGTCTCGCTGCGGAGTCACTTCGGGATCATAATAGCCCCGGGCCAGTATGGCCAGGGCTCTCCGTTTCCGCCAGTAATAATCCCAACCTCGCTGGTAATATGCTCCCGGGGATCGCCATGAGCCAGACCAGCCAGAACGGCTCTATCGTTCCTGCCCGGCCCCAGCCTTGTGCAGCACGCTCTTCCTCTTTCCTCGCCGGCTGGCCCCCGCTCGCTCCTCGCTCGGCCCTCCTCTTCCTCTCCCAACGCCCCCACACACTAGAATAAAATGTGGGTAATAGACCGATCTCACCAAGCGTTCGGCGCATGTTCGGCGCATGTTCGGCGCCGCCATAACTTTAGTTCACAAGAAAAAACGGCAGTGCACGAGAGGGCTCGTGGCGTCTCGTGCTCTGCACGCGCAGAGCTCCCGCGAGGTTGTCGCATATGTGCAGAAAGACTAAAGTTCCCTCGATGCATTGCGGCAGCGGTGGCGTAGTCAAACTGGCTGGTGAGATCGGTCTATTAGAACCAAGCTCTGTATGTGATGTGTCGGCGGCGCAGGATTATCATCATCGTCACCGACTGTGCATGTGGCACTATCATCATGGCCACCAGCAAAAGGTGTGACCCTGATCCGGAGCACGTGCCAGGGTGCGCGCTCGCTCGGGTTCTTCTCCTGGATCCCTACGGAACTGTCTTTGGCCCTTGTGGGTTCTTGCTTCCATTAAAATACTCCGACAGCCGGCGACGGCTGCTCGGACATCACAGTTGGCGACGAGTGCGAACATTGCAAAGACTGGTGTATAGAAACGCGACGGGCAACAAAATAAGGATATTTACGCTTCGCAAGAGCTTTTTCTAAAGAAAAACTTTAACATCCTGTTTTCTGCACGCCGTCATATTTGTTACCAGACTAAGCATTAAATTTGGTTGCCGAAGCAAACAAAACTTTGTGCTACGAAAATCCACTATTTGAAAACTCGCAGGTTTGGAAGGTTTTGGTTGCGACCGCGCATGCCAAACGGCATTAGGATTGCCGGAACGGGCCAACAGGCGTCTCGCTTGAAGACTTGATCGCCCGATTCTCGACGTCACAGCGAAGCAACAATCGCCCCGATTGTTCCTACCGTATTTCCCTATGTGGCTGTCTAAGCGACCCGTAATATAACTGGTATAAATATGTTATTTTGCCGAGTAGTCTGCAAAACCAGTTCGACAGACCACTTTCCAAGCCTGCGCATATATTTTCATTCACTTCCAACGATTTCTGTAAAATTCACTGTTACGAGGTAGTAATAAAGACCGAGACAGGCCACGTCCGATGGTGTTCCAGGCGTATGCTGAACTGCTCGCGCCACCGGCGCCCGTGCATTGCACCTCTTCATTTTCTAATGCGCGTGTGTGTCAACGGTGGCGCTTGCTTTTGTATATAGCAATCGTAACACTCCTTCCCCCCAGATTGTTATTCAGGGAGAATAACGACGGACTGGTTTTCTCGTGCGCGTTGATCTGCGTAGAACTGGAGAGTCTTTAGTAGCGATCGAACTCTCGACACGTGTTTGTGGAGACAACGGCGGTGGCGTTGATGCTCTAGCCTCTGGTGGGTCATTTGCTTGCACCACTGTTCCTGCGTTGGCTGGTGGTTGTTCAGCAATTGAAGTGAGTCCATTTCTTTCTGGCAACTCAGGTGTGACCGGTGGGAACCTGTCGTCAAGCCTGATATGGTCGCCGTGTCTGTGCCAATCGGTTCCGTCTTCCAGTTGTACTTCGACGGACGATGAACTTGTTGGTCTGATAACGGTGGCTGGCAACCACGATGAACCAGGCCTGAAATTCTTTACAATGATGCTAGAGTCAGGCCTCGGCAATTCAGTACGACGTGCTCCTTTGTCTTGGTGTAGCTTCTGCTTCAGTTGTTTTACAACATTTTTCCGAAGGTCCGGACGCAGCGCTTTGAGAGGGGTTCTCAGCACCCTTCCCATGAGTAGTTCTGCAGGGGGTCGACCTGTCAAGTAATGAGGTGTCGTCCGGTACTGAAAAAATAACCTGGAGATCTTGGTCTGAAAGTCGCCGGGGTCAGCCTTCTTCAACTTATTTTTTACTAACTGAACTACACGTTCAGCAACACCGATTGATGCGGGATGGTACGGTGGTACCTTGATACCCCGGATCTGATTCCTTCTGAGGAACTCCAGGAATTTCGCACCCGTGAAAGCTGTTCCGTTGTCAGATACAATAATATCTGGTATTCCATGAGCTGAGAAAATAGTCCTTAAGCAGTTTATAGTTGCTTCTGAAGATGGAGAAGACACAGGCATGACTTCAACCCACTTGGAGAAAGCGTCTACGACGACCAAGAAGTAATGACCTTGGAAAGGTTTACCGAAATCAATGTGCAGTCTTGACCACGGTTTTTCTGGAAAGGGCCAAGGTGTTGACTGCACTGGTCGACGTAAGTGCAGATGTTCCTGACAAGTCGCACAGGACTTCACCTTGTTTGTGATGTCTTTATCTATGTTAGGCCACCGTACGTGACTTCGGGCGATAGTTTTCATCTTTTCAATGCCCGGGTGACTTTCGTGAATGAGCTTCAGGACTTTCTGTCGAAGAGACGCGGGAATCACGACTCTGGTTCCCCAGAGCACGGAGTCTTCTTGTAGACTGAGCTCGTGCTCTCGAACTTTGAAAGGCATCCATTCGGCCTCCCGAGGGAGGTTGCCACCTTCCAACAAGATGTCATGAAGCCTCGACAAGAGAGGATCCCTCTTTGAAGCCTGAGCTACTACGGCTGACGACAGCACTCGAGGGTAGCACCCTTCCGACATGAAGATGTCGGCTGGCGGCTCCACAGTGATGTGGGGCCGCCAGTCTGGCGACGAAGGGTGAATCACGAATTTAACCTGCTTACAAGATGCCGAAGTATGGTACACTGGAGCCTTTCGACCCCGAAAGTCAAGTCTGGCAAGAGTACCTGGAACGAATGGAACAGTTCTTCGCAGCGAACGAAATCCCATCCTCGTCGCCAGTTGTTACGAGGTAGTAATAAAGACCGAGACAGGCCACGTCCGATGGTGTTCCAGACGCATGCTGAACTGCTCGCGCCACCGGCGCCCGTGCATTGCACCTCTTTATTTTCTAACGCGCGTGTGTGTCAACGGTGGCGCTTGCTTTTGTATATAGCAATCGTAACACTCACTTACTTGATGCCTTAGCACTGCAGTAATCCACTTCTCACGCCTAGCCGCTTCCCAAGATATCGAAGAAAAGCGGTAAAGTTTGACGCTTGAGTCTCCTTCGCGACTGTGGCCGTCCTTCACGCAGCAGCAGCAACGTTTATTTCTTGGGGGAACTCAAGGACTAGACGAGATGCCACAGGAACCCGGTGAGGTCATAAAGACGTGAAGTTGGGACCTAGTTTTACGAAAAACGGTTCCAAAAAGGCTCACGCCGATTCGGAATGTCACGTTCACACGTGGTTTCTAAATGCGCCTGGCCGCAGTCCCCGCGACCCACGTCGTCTGGCCTACCTATTTTTTTTTTTCCGGCCGCTAAATGGCGCACGTTGTAGTGCCAAACTGCATCGCCGGTTGCTACAGCCAAATGTGCTTAGCATTGTCGGATAAACTGCCTCAGCGAATGGGCCTTTCATATTGTGAGACACTGTAAAAAACCTTTACAGAAATAATGCCAGAAAACAAAAGAACGAAACATAAGGAGTGCGGTTCAACAGACATACAAAGAAAAGATGTGCATCGGAAGTTTAAACCGTCTTTATTCGCATTGTCATGGTATTTACAGTGTGATATAATTACCTGCTACGCAGGCGCGGTGAGGACAGAGGAATAGTGTAAACTTTGGTCGGTTTCCCACCATAAGCCCCGAGGTCGTACTGGCTGACGCGAAGGTGGGCTTCGGTTCCGTGGACGCCGTTGAAAATGCCCCTGGCGGTGTAGCGCACTCCCTTTTCGGTTTGTTCCAGAAGTGGATCGTCGAGGTCCTTGACGTCGTAGAACCAAAGGTAGTGGTCATTGACCTTTCCCTGGAACCAGACAGCGAACCAGCCTTCTATGTCAATCTGGGCGGTCCATGGAATTTCCTGAAATAAAAAGAAGACATCACGCTAAATCAGGAGGGCAAACTTGAACCCTTAAGAAAAAGATGGCATCACGCTTTGATAAAACATGACGTCATCTGGCACTGTGAACGTCACTGCTAATTTTTCCCGCTAAATATAGACGAGAGAGACTTCCGTTTAATTTAGTGAATAACTTTCCCAGCCACGACGATCACGTAGACATGAGAAACAGACCCATAGATCCGCTGCGGGAAACCTCGCCAGGCTGTCGCCATAAAAGTCTACTTCCAAAAATAAACGCGGTGGGGCGCTTTCACGAAAAAACTTTTCATTTCCGGTAAGCCGCGTTCCACCATGTTGATGAACAGTGTCTGCTACCTTCCTCATTCGTTTCCATCCCGAAGATTCGTTACTGGCGTCGTTTTTGGTATTGGTAAAACGCACGAGCATGGCGAGTTGCTTCGTATACGGCAGAACTAAGTAAATATACGACGGGAGACTTGGGCCGCAGAACCTCATATATACTTCGCTTTTTTCTTATTTTCTTTTCAACAAAATCTCCTCGTTTTTTTTTTTTTTTTTTTTTTTTTTTTTTTTTCTGGTGCTATTTTGGTTGTTGACAGGTCAAGTTCTAGATCGCCAGCTCGTCTTACAAAGGTCGGGCACGCCAAAAAAAAAAATTGTTCCAGACGACGCCCCTTCGTGTTTCCAGCGGATCTCTGGGTCTGTTTCTCATGTCTACGTGATCGTCGTGGCTGGGATCACGGAGCGAAAGAAATCGAACGATTTGGAAAACGCTGATTCCGCGCATAGCAATGCATAGGGCGAAAGTTGTGGCGTTCGACGAGATATTGAACCGGAAGTACGTCATGTGAAACCGCACTATACACGTCAAGCGAGCGAGAAACACTGTTGGTGTCGCTGTTTTCTGCAGCCTGCCCAAGGTCCTGAATTTTACTTCGTTGCTCTAAAGGCGCGGTTCCATTTCTAATACACGGAACAAAAAACAGTCCCGCATTCTGAGGCGCGTTTCTTCCATGTATAAAGCTCCTGTCAGATTTGCCATAAAAAAAAAAATGAAAGCCGTTTACAACTTCCTGTAACGCCGATTAAAGTGCAGCTCTTGAGGAGGAGGAGGGAAGGGTAGTGAGGATCACGTGTTCTCGGGGGTGGGGGGGGGGGGGGGGTCACGTGATCTCGGGGGGGGGGGGGGGGGGGTCACGTGGCCTCACGGTTACGCCGACGCCGCTCAAGCCGGAAACGGGCGCCTAAGAGCTAGGCTCAAAAATGTCTACCGACATCTTGGAAGCATAAATCAAAATGTTTCAAACATGATTGAGGCATGTCGGCAGGTAGCTACCCCCCTCTTTAATGTCCAAGGCCCTGAGAGTGTACGGAATAAATTAATAAATAATTAAACTCTGTCACCATACCTGCAGCGAACACCGTGTCCTTTGTCTGGTGCATGAGAAGTGCGAAGGCGGTTTAAAAGGATTGAAAACAGAAAGTGATTTTCAACGCACCCCCCCCCCCCCCCCCCCAACCCCAACATTTCATCCATCCGTCCGTCCGTCCTTATTTCCCACTAAATTTAGTGGGAACATTGACGTCACGTGACCTCACGTCACGGACGTATACACAAGTTCACTTTCCCCGCTAAATTTGGCGGGAAAATTGATGTCAAGTGACATAATCACCAAATGAGTTTCCTCACTAACTTAATAATATATATATATATATAGACAGAGATATATATAGATAGATATATGTTCTTCTACACTCCCCGAAATGACTGTTCAATTTCTTCTAAACGAATTGTAACGGTCGCTCCTTAAACGCGACATTTCGAGCAATATACGACTTACTTTCAAGAAAAAAAATCGCCGCCATTTTTTTATTTTTTTATTTTTTTGCTTACCTGGGTGACGTCGGTGACGACCCACTCAATTTTCGCCGACTTCATTGGCGGAACAATGACGTCCTGTTCGATAGTGTACTCCTCCGACTCGGTGTGAACTTGCCCAGCAGTCTTAGTGAGGCTCACGCTTGTGCTGAACGTGCTGGTGACGTCCGCCACGCCAGGCAGGCCCACCTTGATGGAGAGCGAGGTACCCACACTGAACGAGTCTTGCGTCTGCCACGAGTACTGGTGCGTCAGCTTCTTGGTCCGCTTCACGGTGACGATGAGCGGTTCCGTCGGCATTGCGTTGTGGGACCATTCCGTGTGCACCACTTTGGGCAGGACGGACGACTTGCTCATGTTGCCGTACTTCAAGGAGCCCACTGTGGTGCTCACCTTGTACCTGTGAATTGACGCCAGTGCAGTGACAATCGGTCCTCCCGGTGATTGCAGCACTTCCTCCGAAAAAACGCTTGGAATATTAGCTACTCAATATCGGCACCAACTATTGTCGATTTCACGTCCACCATATTTTCAGCCATGAATTAAGAGTTACTACATTTAACCCGTATGCCCTTATTTACCCTTTTAATCCTTATGCTCTTATTCCCGCTACCACCACTAGGAAATTTGTTTCGGTATCTAGTTGGCCAAAAGAGCGTGCCAAGCCCTCTATCTGCGTCGGGTGGACCCCCTGGCTCTGCCCGCTCCAGAAGCGTGGAAAGTTCGGCTAGTTGATAGCAGTTCATCCTGATTTAAAAACGCACACACAAAAAACCCAAAACGTCTGCCCGCTCCTCTCATTGACCAAACTCTCTATACACGGCTCTGGAGTCGCCAGTACTTCGGCGGACTCGAAACCTCCCAAGTTTCCAGACCAGTAAGTGGTTTACTTAAATATCTACGTGAGTATTGAAAAATACACTAGCAGTGGATAACCCGAACGCCGCACGCAGAGGCCAGGACTCCTTTCGGAAGTACCGTCACGTCCGTTTGATCGGTGGAGCGATTATATCGGGCCTCATATATAGCGCTATTCTTAAATGCGATGGCATCTCTAGAGCCACAAAGTCACGAGACAGCGTGCGTCCATCCGTAGCGGCTAGAGAGCTAAATTCAGCGGAAAACCCTTAATTGGTGTATAGTTGAGCATCGGTTCAATTGCCTCGCTAAATGTAGCGGTAAGACCTGTTACCATTAAGCACCAATAGTTCAATGGTGGTTTATTTCACTCCTGAGTAGACCTCCAGGCGTGGAACTTAAATTTTGGAAAGAAATAAGCAAAAACTGCGCCGCGCTCGCGGCCGAGAGGATGTGCCGAGCTCAACGGACACCTGGGGCTCTGAGCTGGACACTCGGCGAAAAAGTCGTCGATATCTCTGACGGCCGCGATTGGCCCGCGCTGAGGTCAAACGCGATGCTCGCCAATCGCGGCGGTCAGAACTCTCGTTGACATTCTTGCCAAATACCCAGCTTAGGGTCCCTGGAGAGGCAAACTCGAACCAAGAATTCCAAATGTCCTTGCATTAAACCTCCTTTCACGGTATCTATACTTCCTTCCGCTTTACGTAGAGACGCAGCCGACGCTACGAGTTGACGGGACCGATCAAAAAGCGTGGAAAGCGCCAGTCACCGGGTCTTTCCCGAGCATGATTCGTTCGTCGGTGATAGAAGACGTACTACACATGACGAACACGCATGATGATGCACCTTTGACGCTCTTTGATTTGTCCCATCAGATTGCAGCATCGACTGCGTCTTGACTTAAGGCGAAACAAAGTATAGACCAACACTCGGCCCTGGCGTCACGCAGCTGCGGTGGTACTGTCAATGGCATGACGCATGCGCAGACGTTTCGATTCACGCGAATTCGGTTTCTGCGCACGCGCAGTGCGCATACCTGGTGGGGGCAAACATGGGCTTGTCTGTAAACAGCGTGTCGGTCTATATACCTTTCCAGCGGCAGCCTGGAATGAAGCGCGCGGGCGAAAAATGCTGAGTCACTGAGCTGTGGACGCATGCGCAGCATCCAATATACCGCACAGCAGACCAACAGCGCATGCTCAGGAGGCGTTCCAAAGCCCAGCAGACAAATATGGCCGCGCGCAGAAGGCAATTTTCGCAAAGGTCTATAGGAAGAACGCCCAACATATAGACAATTGCAAGCATGGCGCCACAAGTGGTGCCCCATGCGTGCAAGCGCGTGCAACGCGCGGGTGAGCGTAGCTTTGGCAAGCTCGTAATCGCACGGGCGTGCCTGCTCGAGCAGAGACATGGCGGCGGCCAGTCGCCCAGCTTGCAATCGTCTATATATTGTAGCGGGTTCCGCTTGCCAGCTGTTTATTAGCCGGACAAGACGTCCGGTTTCTTTGCTGGCTTGCTTCGAACTGCTTGCCCGAGCGCTCACATCGCGCGACCTCCGGCCTCGTTCTTCTTTTCATCGCTACAATATATATATATATATATTTTTTTTTTTTTGCGTAATTCCGTACCTTATTATTTACAAAAAAGGAAAAAAAGAGAACCATTCTCAGAACACGTCTACGATATGTGTCTGCCGTGCTACATCGTGATTTGGCTCGAACGCGGCGCCAAGAGGCAGTCGGGTGCAATATCAGCGAATTCGCGTAATCGCGAGCGTATCACGGCACTTCCACTCCCTGATGGGCCTGCAAGCATCATACGATGCGATACGAATGTATTTATCACCACGATAAGATTCGGTGAATGGGGGCCGAATAACTGCACAAATGCAGCTTGACTAAGGGGTTTAACAGATACGGCGGAGCGAGACAGGCACCAAGACACAAGAGTAAAGTCAAACATATTACCAATAAAAGAAGTCAAAGGATCATTTTTGAATTTGCAGCTATTTGAAAGTTCGGTTATGGTCTACATTTGGAACGAAATAGTTGGTTAAGAAAAGAAGCCAAAGTGTGAACTAATCTCTGCGTTCCGTAATTAATTCTAGATTTAGGAATTTGCCAAGGCTGGTAATGCCTGGATGAGTAGGACTGACTTTGTTTTTGTTTTTTTTTAATCTGAAAGCTGAATAATAAAATCTGAGTGCCCATCTGAGTAATTAAACGAGATAATTATATAATTGGTGTACTCTAAGGATCTTGTATAATTTAAATAATGAATGTGTTGAATGAGAGTAAGAAACGTTTGCTATTGCTCTTGTTGCCATTTTTCTTTTAGCAGATGTATTCAGATTTAAAAAGGATGTCTTACCCAAAAATATACGTTACAATACTAATACAAATGATAATAAATCAACGAATTGTATAATTTTTTTACACCTACTGGGAGAACATGTATGTGTTCGTTTAAAAGTCTTACAGATCTACTTAACTTAGAAGAAAGATATCATTATTCCATAACATATTGTCTAAAAAAATGACCCAAGTCACCGCAATTCCCACGGAGCGCCAAGAGGCTTAGCTGTACTTCCTATAATCAACTTGGTCAGCTACGAGAACGAACGACATCGCGCTACAATATAGCCTGATTGAAATTTAAAAAAAAAAACGACCACTATTTTGTTATTAAGACCGCATGATCATTATATAAAAGATCACGTGCCCTCCTCACCAAAAATAAATAAAAATATTAAAAATCGCGCGACAGTTATTTGACCTAATGCGTTTAAACAAAAGCAACAAAACAAATTTAGGTGTGTGTATGTTTATACAGCCTATAACTTAATCTGCTTTAACGGGTGACTTGTCTCAGAGCTGTACATGAGAAATTTAGCCAGTGCAGTACAACCGCTAGCCTGGGGTTTTTAACCTGCACCACGCAGTAGTGATGCACGACCGCATACCCGTACGATGCGCATCCAGATTGAAGCGGGCAGGGGTGGGGATTGAACAGCAGCAGCAAGGTCGTGATGTGTTTTCCCACCAAAATTAACACGGAAGCTGAATGGATGCGTAGGTCACGTGACGTCAATTTTTCTGCTAAATTTAGAGGGGAACATGAATTCGTCCGAAACCGAAACTAAAAAAGTTTGGAGCTACTTGGCGCGCTATCGCAACTGTTAGCCCTGCTCCTCTGCCCCCTAGCTTTACCTTCATTGCCACAGAAAGGTGTCCCCGAGTACAGTTGCCTTTTTCTGTACTCGCTCTTCGAATGCGTTAAAACCCGAACATCAGATGCCGGCTTTCGGCGCTCGAACGCGTTCGAAAAGTGAGTAGAGACAAAACGCGTCTGCCAACTAATCATTCCCACTAGAGCTCGATGTCTTGACGTCTCCTCCTCTCCTTCGGTGTCTACCCGCGTAGATAGTACGCGTCACAAGGTTGACTCACTTTCTGTACTTTGCGGCGAACTCGATAAGATGACTGTGGTTGCCGTGCATGTTCCACCAGTTGACCGGCATGTTGTGTTCCTTAGACTTTTGGTTCACAAACTCTTGGATTTTTTTCGGCAAGTCGAAGACACGTGGCTTTGCAGCTCCTATTAGAGAAAATGTTCAAAAGAATCATAAAGCAACCAGTGTACCTTCGGCATTTTTATTTTCAATATATCGTTTCACTTTCTTACGTAAATAAAATATATATGTAACAGATATGCGAAACAAACCATAAAAGCTAGGGGCATGACCGATCACAATAGAATAAATATATTGATTTCAACACTCAAACGGTGTGCTATATATACATATTCGGCTGACACCCCAATGCGTAACGACTGAGAAATTAAAACTAGCGAATACATCTCCCATTTGTTCTAACTCATTTTTATCTGAAAATGGGTACTACGAAATTTGTTAACGAACTTTAGACAATTTTCAATGGCGTCATATTTTCTGCTAATACATATATCCTTTGTTGGCAAGCAATGATAACTAATATTCAGTTATTCTTTGTGTTCGTTCAAACGAAACAAATTGAATAACATTGACGGACTTATCCAAGAACGCCGCAATAAAAAAAAAAAAAAAAAAGTTACTTAGCTCATACCCTCTGGTAAGCATATTCGGCCCACAGCGGAATATTGGGGGGCGCTGTGTTCGACAAATGTTTCGTTTCTCCTAAAAAGAAACGGAAGTGATGGAAGTGATGATATCGCGTCGGATTGGTTAGAGGCTCAAATGACAAAAGTTCCTTCTTTCGTCATTTGAGCCTCTAACCAATCAGACGGGATATCGTCACTTCCGTTTCTTTTAAAGAGAAGCGAAACATTTGTCAAACATAGCCCCACTAGAATACCTGCTTTTCTTCACTTTTAGAGCGCAGCTCTCAGGAGCCCGTTTCCGGCTTGAGCGGCGTCGCCGTCGGCGTAACCGCGAGGTCACGTGACCCTTCCAAGGTCACGTGACCCCCAAGGTCACTCCAAGGTCACGTGACCCCCAAGGTCACCACAAGGTCACATGACCCCAAGAGGTCGCATGACCCTGGGGGAGGGGTCACGCGACCCCCTCCCCCGAGGTCACGTGACTCCCCCTCCCCGAGGTCACGTGACCCCTCCTCCCCCGAATTCACGTGACACCTACCTCCCCCGAGGCCACGTGACCCCCTCCCCCCGAGGTTAGGTGACCCCCCGGAGCATATTTAAGAATGAGGGGAGGAGGATGAGAAGGAGGAGGGGTCTACCCTCCCCTCAATACCCTTCCCTCTTCCTCCCCCCTCAGTACCCTTCCCTACTCATTCCTCCTCAAGAGCTGCGCTCTAATTCGGCGTTACAGGGAGTTGTAAACGGCTTTCATTTTTTCCAAACCAATTTGTACGCGCTCCACACACCTGCAGGTTCAGACTCGACCCAGCATGTCATGCCCTGCCACTCGGCGCGAGATGGTTTCGCTCGTCCTTTGCACTGTTCTGTCCAGACTCCACAGACAGGCACCATCAGCTGTTCCTTCTAGTGAGCCATCTAATGCCAACGTATATGAAGTCCTTTGCTGGTCATGTTAGGGAAAGGAAACTGGTTGGCATACAGTATGTTAAATTTGTGTACATATGTATTAAGTAGGCATATCAGAGAACCCTCAGTGGACAAAGGTTACTTTTATCTCCGCTAAGCTATGTCAAACGTAAACGGACGTTCCAGTTTGTTTTGTTCATGGCTCTACCTCAAAGGCAGCATTTTTTAGACCTGGGTAAGAGTAGAGGAAGGAGTTGTCTTTCTGTGGACTGCGATGCCCCGCTAACTTGTAAAACGGCACATGACAGCTTGAGAAATGCAGAGTGTGCCGAGTCATGAGAATCTCATTATCGCAGCCAATAAGGTTGCTGCGTTCGTTGATAAGAACCACTAATAACCAATCACGAAGCAAGAAACGTGAGCACAATAAGCCACATCCTGCGCGTTTCCTAAATTGACTGTATAGCTCCCGCATACGCTGATCTGCATCGCGCCTTTCATTGCGCTAAAACGTTCATCGGTGCGATGAGAAACGAAATAGAGTAGATATTTCAAGTATATTTTCAGCAAAGCAGATAAGGCCAATGAAGAAATCGACTGCTAAAATACGCCCGGCCTTGGACTGAGGGCTCAGGTGAACTGGTGAATATTGGCCAACATCAGAAAACCGGAGACACGGAAACAAAAAGGACGTACAGAACATCCGGTGTCCGAGAGAAACAACATCTCAGACACAGCTCAGAGCCGTGTTCAAGACGCTGTTTTCTACGTCCTTTTTGTTTCCGTGTCTGTGATTTTATTGTATTGTCAAATGGGATTCTGGTTGATTTTATCTCCGCCGTAACAATATGGTGATGCCATTGTAGACCGACATTTTTGCTGCTATAAATTTTTCGATAAAGTTCCGAATTTCTTTGGAATGTACGAGGGGCCTCCAGTAAGTATCCGAATTTTGTCCCAAAAACACAAACACGACGAATCTTATAGACTTTAGCAGTGTATCTGAAAGTGAACATTATACGTCTGACACCTGGTGGAAGAAGTTGGAAGTATAAACTGTTTTCTCGTGCTGTATAATGCAAGATGGCGTCGGACCAGTTGACTCCAGTGCAGGCACTGCGTGCGGACAAGAAATGTCTGTCGGAAACAGGTTCCAAACCAACGCTTAAAATCACCTTGGACTGTCATGTGTGTTTTGAGAACCGACCGTAGCACGTCCATTAGTGTTTAAATTTTGTAAATGCTTTCATTATTGTAGTACAATGTCTAAAATACTGATTAGCTCACACTATTTTAGTTTGTCTTAAATTTGCATTTTTAGAAATTGTTATTTTTTTGCTTTTATATACCTATTGCCCCCTCCCCTCTGCAATGCCCTCGTGGCCATGAGGGTATTTGAAATCAATCAATAAATAAATAGCGTCAATAACTTTTTTCCTTCACAAAATAAACAAGCAAGCTTACCCGTTTGCTGCATTGCCTGTGAACAGAGAAAAAGAGCATATATAATGCATTACCCAAGTAATCGGTGAAAAAAAAAGACTCGTCTACAGGTACTGTATTCGGTAAGGTAATTAATAAGCATAAAACTAACTTTGTGGTATAAACGGAAATATATGTGCTACATTCTATGAGATTATGAAAGCGGCCAACCTAAACTGCGTGCAACAAAATCAAGCTTGCTACCGCTGGTATTCTTTTTCGTTCTTTTTTATTCACAACAGGCCCGCTTCGAGTTCGACGTAAACAGCACATATCTTTCTTTCTTTCTTTCTTTCTTTCTTTCTTTCTTTCTTTCTTTCTATCTTTCTTTCTTTCTTTCTTTCTTTCTTTCCTTCTTTCTTTCTTTCTTTCTTTCTATGTATGCACATATCTTAGCTTGTTTTGGTTTTACTAGCTGTCGGTAGTCACAAAAACCTAGCCGTATGTTAAGCCCTCCACGAATCATACACAATGTTCATAAAAAGTATCGGACCTGTCCTCAGTGTCACTTTGCAATGTCGTACGCGGAAACCACGTGCATTCTTCGAAACTGCCTGAGGAATTTTTCTGTACGACAGGAACGTTAGACAAGGAAGGAACATGCGCAGAAAGTGTCTGGAGACTGACTTTTTTTTATGACGTATTACCAGTGTGAGCACGGCTTTAGAGGTTTTGGGGCTTGCCTCGTAATCGTATAGATCAGGAGAAAAAGTGCCACGAGGGAGTGCCACCGTTGAACTGCTTCGTGGGTATTGTCGAGCCAACAAACGGGGGGAAAATAACTTACCAGGGCGAGCAGAAAGACGGCTCCAAGGAGGAGCGACACAGAGCCGGCCATGTTTGACCCACGCGTTCCCGGTGTTCACGAAACAGTGAATAGCGTTGGAGGACCGCCTATTTTATATTGGACGCCTCCGATATAGAGGAAGGTCATTAGCGTGTCCGTTACATCTCTCGAGCGCATTGTATGCCTTATCGCCAACCATTGTCCGTACCAGATGTGTGAAGCCACATTTATCGCTGCCACGTTGCCGTCATTATCTGCGCGCTTATTTCCTACTACGACGTCGAGCGATAATCGACGCGTTCTTCATAATTCAGTTGGTATAGCAGAGGGTTGGGACACTCGAGACACCCAAACAACCATTATTGCTGGGTAGGTGCACGATTAGAAACTAAAATTCGTTGCACCCATACAACGATGAACCTTGGCGGAAGCGCTCTTAAAGTTTCATGCGAATACTAGCACCGCACGCTGGAAGGCAGAAAGCGGGCGGACAGGCGGAGGCGCTTGCAGAAGGTCGACATTGTCCTCACCTCCTCGCAGCAGCGCAAACGTAACAGCGCTGCCCACAGAGCACCTGACACTTATCGAGCGGTTGAGAACACTCTGAAGGTCACGTAATAGTGGAATTGTTTGTAAACAGCGAGTTGGTTAGGCTGTTTAATGAGTCCGTCTATTTTCTCGACTAAAAATTAAATCAACTTTTTTTTTTTTTTTTCCGAACTTGGCGCGGTTTACGTTACAGGCCCTTCCTCCATCCAGCCCCGTCAGCGGATTGAAGACTCACCTTTCATGACGTCCGATAAACTCTATGCACTCACGCAGCGCATAAAATTGTTTTTAGCAACAGGTTATTGCAACCTTTACTTTTCTTCCAGAAAGCTTTGATATGCACGCGTGAACGAACTCTGGAGCGAACACGCGTGTTTGAGCTCCCTTGAAGTTCGTTTAAGTACATTCTAAAAATACCACTGCGGTAGCTGGAGACACTACTGCATAATGAACTATACAGTATATACCGGTTGTTCCTGCGATTACTTTCAAAAATATATTTTAAAAGGATGATTAGGGAAAACAAACTTTTGGGGAACAAACTGTCAGCCGCGGCAGGCGTCAGGGGTTGCACAAGATACTGAAATAAGCCAAATAATTAACTAAAATGCACTAATTACCTCGCTTAATTAAGAAGGCTGCCGACGCGGAAACGTGGATTACATTCTTATTTGCGTTTTCGCATCACCAGCCTCGCGCCTGCTGCACGAGTGGTATACCTTTACTGCACACCCGCTCTTCATACCTTCTTTGACTGATATAAGGGTTTGCGATGACCCTCAGCAGGTTTATAATAGACCCTTTCCGGAATTCAGTCTGGCCACTTTGATCACTATCATCATCATCTGAAAACGGCATATGTGCTATACTAATGGCGGCCTTCTGTTTACTGTTGAAGGAAGAAGTTGAAGATGCTCCTGAGCAGATCATTCGAGGCCTATATATTCTAGGTGTTAGCGCAACGTGAAGCAGGAATTGGAAGCAAGAGCTGCGTAAGCGTTCATTTCTAACTCAGTCCCAGTCAATCCGTTAGTAGCACTCAATCGGCTTCAAAGCCTCTTGATGTATAGGACTCTATCAAGGCGTGTATGTGGGTTGGCGCTTCGTTCCGACTGGCTGCATTTGTTTTCGCCATCGACACTAAAAGAGATTGAAAAATAATTGTAGTGAAGTGAACATTCTCGTTTACCGTTGACCTTTAAGTGACGGTGCCCCATTAAATATTGCAGACCACAGGCTCATTGCCGCCATTAGTATAGTAAAAGATAAACTGCCATTTGAGTCACCAGATGGCACTGAATTCCGGAAAGGGTCTATTAGAACCATGTGTGAATTTTCACTACTTAAAGGGGCAATGCAACGATTTTTGTATTTTGCGCAAATATCGCTTAGAACGAATCCCTGACGTTAATGACCTGTGAAATACCCGTTCGTTTTTCACTACACGCAATCGAAGTCGCAGAAAAAATTAAGAAAAAACGAGCAGAATTCATCCCCTCAACTCGCAGCCAGAACAAGCGGCTACGTGATCTGGAGCCGATTATATGCCGCTAATGTTGATCATAGCCATGCGCTGGGGTTGGCAACGCACAGGACACGCGCTAAGTTCCAGGCATTGTTATGGTTCGGCTGTTGTCGTCATTGCAGCGATTGGACACACGACACTACCCGAATGCTTCTCGAGCTATAAATTATCACGAGCCCAAATCGAGTGTCCACGCCATGCTCGGGTCCAATCTATGAGCCGCATTCAAATATCGTCACTGGGCGGTACTGCTACCGCCGAGCTACGTCATCAAGTTTTGCGAAGGAGAGATTGAATGAAAACGCTCGGTTTCGTCCTCGAAATTACAGCGCAACAAAGAGTTTCTTAGTCAGTGGCTTTGCGTGCGAGTATCCTTGAGTCCCATTAGTGCCAGTAAGCTCGTGTAAAGTGACAAACATTCCAATTGAATATTGTTTCACCGCCCCTTTAAAAAGTTATTAAGCAAACAGTGGGGGCGGCAGCTTTCCCAGAGTCATGTCACTCAAAACTGCATGGATCGGCTTACAGATACTGCCACTGCTGATCAACTGCGAAACATCTGGAACCGTCTGCGTCGATCGTCCACCAAGCGCTGAATCACCGTGGCTTCATTCCCGGTTCGCCAGTGACATATCAGAAGACGACGATGACGTCACCAGGGAGCCCTATAAAGCCCGATACAAGACCAGCGGTCTCCAGTGGGGGCGGCAGCTTTCCCAGAGTCATGTCACTTAAAACTGCATGGGTCAATCTAATGATGCCTGCGTTGTTGTGCTATCACACCCCACATTTCTTTGTGAGATGTTGAACTGCTGGTGGACTGGAATTGTTCTGTTGTTATCCGGAGATATAGAAGAAAACCCAGGTCCTGCCAGCGATACTAAGGAGCTTCTGCGAGAAATATTATACAAACAAAAAGGAATAGCTAAAGATATAGCAGAAATTAAAGCAAATGAAAGAACCGTGGATAATAGGCTCCGGGCAATGGAAAATAGGCTTCGTCAACTGGATGAAATCTCAAAAATGATTATAGAAAACAAAAATAAGCTAGCTAACGTTGAAGTCACAGTTTCGCTAGAAAAGACCATTAAATTGCAGCAACAAGGGCTAAGTAACCTTGAGGATAGAGAGGTGAATTAATATGATTGTGTTCGGCATTCCAGAAGTGAACAATGAGACAGATGTAGATTTGGAACAGAAATTGATAAGAGATATCTTCTTCGGACAACTTGGTGTAACTGTGACGTCTGTTGAAAGAATCCATCGTTTGGGCCCGAAACGACACGATAAAAGCAGACCCGTCATCCTCAGGGTATATAATTGCAACGAAAAGCAGCGGGTGTTCAAGAACTGCAGGAAACTGAAAAATACTCTCGTGAGCGTGTCCGATGACTATTCAAAGGAGACAGTGGAAAAGCGACGTCAACTTTGGAACTCGGCACGCCAAGAGAAACGGAACGGAGATAAAGTGCGACTTGTGTATGACAAACTTTTCGCAAATGACGTAGCCTACGACTGGGATTCTGTAACGAACACGCGCGTTCAACAGAATGCAAGCGTCATACCAATGGCCTCTCAACAAAATTGACATAAAAGGAAAAAGATGTACGAATAATCACAATAAACGCACAAAGTACACTAAACAAAACACTGGAATTGGAATATATTATTATTCAGCATGATCCACATGTTATTGTCGCAACTGAGACTTCGCTACATAGCAACACTGCCGACTCCGAGGTGTTTCCAAGGGACTATAGCGTGCTACGGAAGGACAGAGAAACTAGAGGAGGAGGCGTTGCCATTCTTATAAAGGACTCTCTAAAGTTTGAGGCGTTGCCTGGTATGAACGACCATGAGAGCGTATGGTGGAAACTACTCCTTGACGAGATGGTCTTCTTAATTGGTGGCGTCTATAGGGCCCCGGCACTGGAATTAATTTCCTCGAGAAAATAGGCGATTATTTAACAACTCTTGTGAAAAACGGAACCAAAATTATCCTAACGGGCGACTTTAACCTGCCACATATTCATTGGCAAAAACTAAGCCCAGGCAGAGCGGATAGATTACATATAGAATATTTGTTTGATATAATGCTTAAATATGGACTGACGCAGGTAGTTAAAGGAGCTGTGCGACGATATTCAGTTGGAATGTTTTTCACTATGCACGAGCTTAGTGGCACTAGCGGGAGTCAAGGATACTCGCACGCAACTCTGCTGGCCAAGAAACTCCTTTGTTGCGGTGTAATTTCAAGGTCAAACGCGATCATTTCAATTCAATCTCTCCTTTGTAAAATTTCATGACGTAACGTGGGGATCGCAGTACACCCATATGACGATATTTGAATGCTGTTCATAGATTGGACCCCAGCATTGCGTGGGCACTCGATTTGGGCTCGTGATAATTACTAGCTCGAGAAGCATTCGGGTAGTGGCTCGTGTCCAATCGCTGCAACGACGACAATAGCCGAGCCATAACATTATCTGAAACTCAGGACGTGCCCTGTGCTTTGCCAACCCCAGCGCGTGGCTATGATCTACATTGGCGGCATATAATCGGCTCCACATCACGTGGCCGCTTGTTCTGGCTGCGAGTAGAGGGGGTGAAAGCTGCTCGTTTTTTCTCTAATTTTTTTCTGGAACTTCTATTGCGTGAGGTGAAAAACGAACGCGTGTTTCATAGGTCATCAATTTCAGGGATCCGTTCTAAGCGGTATTTGCGCAAAGTACAAAAATTGTTGCATTGCCCCTTTAACGAACCAACCAGAATTCAGGGATCATGCCAATCTGTATTCGATATCTGCCCAGTATCTGATTACTTTTCGAATTTCAAAGTGTGTGTAGAGCACGGAATTTCAGATCATAAAATGGTTATCTTGACTCTAGAGTTAGACAGTCTACGCTTTCAGAAAACGGACCCTAAAATTGTTTATGATTTTTTACGAGCAGCCGACCACATCAATATTAGATTATCTCGAACTACTCTAGACCACATAGATAAAATAGTGACGTAGATTAT